TCTGAATTTAGCCAAGTCACATAACACAACAAGGTTGACAGCCTTACAAATCTGGAGGAACAACATTCTTCATGTGTGTCAACGGGAACTGGTATTAGGCGTGTGCTCTTCACAATGTTGGAGGAATTTATACATGCATTTTTAATAATTTCAATCCACTGTGTGTGATATTTCTTCAGCTGTTCCTTGCATTACATTCAAAGAAGGCGAGGAGAGGAAAAGGGGAGGGTTCCTATTTTAAGTTCCTGCAGTCTAGGCTGTGTTGGATAACTTCAGTTTAAAACACTACCTTTTTGTTTCCTTATAAAGAATAGAGCTCATCTAGATTCTAGGAGACCTTACATAAAAAGAGAACAAGGGTGTTGGGAGGTGTAGAGAAAAGGAAAGAAAAAACACTGACCCCAATTGAGTTGCACATGCAATAGCACTGACAAAACAACAGCAATAGCAGCAATCAGCTATTTGGTGGGACACACATACAGAAACATGCTTCCAAGCACATACAGGACATTGTCCTGTTCGCTTCTGCATCGTTCCTTCCTTATTTCAGATATCGTGACATATCAATATATCACAGTATATCACAGCTGGTGATATATCACTAAAACCAGATGTCACCCAGCCCCATCTGCAACCAAGCACAGAAAAGTGAAAGTGAAAATGCACTTGTATCATTCTCATTTGCAAATTCCAGCTCACTTATTTCCGTCACTGCAGCTCTACTGTAGTTAAAGAAAAGCAGTGCAGCTGTAGCGGACATGGAGAAGTGGACACGGAGCAATGGATCCAAACTACAAGAAAGAAGATTCCACCTAAACATTAGGAAGAACTTCCTGACAGTAAGAGCTGTTCGACAGTGGAATTTGCTGCCAAGGAGTGTGGTGGAGTCTCCTTCTTTGGAGGTCTTTAAGCAGAGGCTTGACAACCATATGTCAGGAGTGCTCTGATGGTGTTTCCTGCTTGGCAGGGGGTTGGACTCGATGGCCCTTGTGGTCTCTTCCAACTCTAGGATTCTATGATTCTAGCCTCCCTCCTAGTGACATTCTGCATGATCCCAAAGCATATAGTCAAATCACTAAAATTAATGGTACCTATGGGGAGCTTAGGGACGCGGGTGGCGCTGTGGGTTAAACCACAGAGCCTAGGACTTGCCGTTCAGAAGGTCGGCGGTTCGAACCCCACGACGGGGTGAGCTCCCGTTGCTCGGTCCCTGCTCCTGCCAACCTAGCAGTTCGAAAGCATGTCAAAGTGAAAGTAGATAAATAGGTACAGCTCCGGCAGGAAGGTAAATGGCGTTTCCGTGTGCTGCTCTGGTTCGCCAGAAGCGGCTTAGTCATGCTGGCCACATGACCCGGAAGCTGTACGCCGGCTCCCTCGGCCAATAAAGCGAGATGAGCGCCACAACCCCAGAGTCAGTCACGACTGGACCTAATGGTCAGGGGTCCCTTTACCTTTACGGGGAGCTTGGGGTGTTAGGGGGACGTTAGTATCTCTGGTGGGGGACAGATATACTTTGGTCCCCACCCTGCACTCAGCTCTCACCTGTGGATCCTAGAAGCTGTCATCATGCAACAGTGGCCACACCTCGGGAAATGGTTTTGACTGGCTGGCAGCCACTGACTAAATCAGGTGAGGGTAACCGATTGGTCTCAAATGCTCAGAACCCAGCACAAATCCAAAATAGAGTCCCTAAGATGGTTGGATGGCATCGTGTGTACCTCCTTCTGGCAACTCCTGCAGCCAAGCTGGTGCCAAATGTATTGCTCTGGTTTCCTTTGAGCTACATCAACAAGGCAGAGGGCAGGGGGTCTTCTGGGCAGCCCAGGACCTCCATACACAATGCCCAGGCTTGCGCCCCTGAGAGGTCACTTTGGTACTAGTCTCCACAGCTACAGGTTGGCGCTGTGAATCTCCAGCAATTTGACTTTGAACCCAGAGGCACACTCCATTGTCTTTCGAGACAGATGGATACCAACAAAATGGTACTGTTTTAAATTGATTTATTTTGGCTGGACATATGCAATAGTTATCGCATACAGATAAGAATAATAGGTATAAAGTATTTCCACCTGTCTCTCATTTTATAGAGGTATAAATTACTGTACCAGGGAACAGGAGCTACTTTGCAAACTCTCAAGTTATTTCTTGCTTAACTTGGCAAATGCCTGTTGTGTGTGGATCTAAATTTATATCCCTTTGCCATACAGTCACACCTCGGGTTGAAGTAGCTTCGAGATAAGTATTTTCGGGTTGCGCGCTGCGGCAACCCGGAAGTAACGGAGCACACTACTTCCGGGTTTCGTCGCTTGCACATGTGCAGACGGTCAAAAATGATGTCACGCGCATGCGCAGAAGTGGCAAATCGCGACCCGCGCATGTGCAGACGCACAGACACGGGTTGCCTTCGTTTCTGGATGCGAACGGGGCTCTGGAACGGATCCCATTCGCATCCAGAGGTACCACTGTATATTCATATTATATTTGACAGAAAGGCCTGTGAGATCTCTTAACTTGGCTGTCCTGTCTGACCTAAAAGCTAGCACAAGCCTGTCAGAAAAGCTGGAGTTTTTGACAAACACACAAACTCTTATTGTCTCTAAGAGAGTCGATTCTGCCTGTTTTCACAGGGGCTATTGTTGTGAAGAAACGAAAAGTTATGCTTAGGTCATGCACTGTTCAAAGGTGTATTTGCTGAAAAGAGAATGTGAAATAGCATTATTTCCCTAAAGCTAATCTTCCAGGAAAAGTTGAGAAATCTTTCACTACATCTTCAAGTTAATATAGAAAAATGCAGGTCAGGAGAAAAGAACTGTTCAGTCTTTCTGCTCAGGAATGTTATTCTTATTTGTGAATTACTACAGTTATTTAGGTTCATTTGTTTGTTTACAGCAAGATCTATTTTAACATGTAACCTGGAGAGGCAACATGTAGTTTTGTACTATCACAGACCACATATATCTGCAAGAAATGGCCACTACCTACCTCATCTTCATTCTCTGGGGTGAAGGGGCCAAAGCTTATTGAACACGTTTTGCAAACAGAAGGTTCCAGCTTCAATCCCCAGCATCTCCAGGTAGGACTGGGGAAAGAACCTGGAGAGCCACTGCCAGTCAGTGCAGACAGTACTGAGGCAGATGGACACACTGCACTGTGAGCTTAAGCTATGGATTTGCAAAGCCACACAAATGTGTGGGCTCCCAGAGTGGAATTCACAGCTCCTTCACACTTCCCCAGTCCTTATTACTGCTGCATTGTGCTGAGCCAAGCCAAGGTTTGAATTCGAGACTCCTGGTTACTGTCTCTCTTCACTTACTACTAACTGTGTCTTAGCTCAGTTCAGTTTACTGCAAATTAGGTTAGTATAAGGCAGCCTCCTGTGTATCTATAAACGACCCAACTGCATACATACTGTTGGAGACCGGGAGTCTGCTTTCATAAGGAAAGAACCCCGTGGCTGTAAGTCAGGCACCCTGAGGATCCTAGACGGTACAAATTTGTCTTTCATATCCTATTCCATTCGTTACAGTTGTACAGGTTTCAAAAACTGTCAGCTTGCTACAACACTTGCATTTTCACGTCTATTTCTTATTTGGGAAAGAAATCATTTTACTTCCCTGGACAAACAAACAAAATTGTTGCAGATCAATAGTGAGACAGGACAGATGAAGATGAGAAAGAGTGATCTACCTGATTTCCAAAGGCTTAGCAATGACTACTAATCGGAAATGAAGAAAGAAGACACTCACAATGCAAAGAGTTTACTGCAGCATCTTGCTGAGTAATAATTACATCCTATTAGACAAATTTAATAAGGAAAAAAAAAGATTTTGTATGTACAAGTAAGATCAAAGAAGCTTCACTAGATATGGCCTGTTTTCAGCATAAGACTGTTTAAATTGAATTTTATGACTTAACTATATCCAGATTTCCCCATCCCATTTGATATCCTCTTTACACCTGACCTACAAATGTCTAAATGAGTATTTTGGAGGTTCAGTATTGGACTAGAATTAGCATGACCTACAACAATACTAGGGATGCGGGTGGCGCTGTGGGTAAAACCTCAGTGCCTAGGACTTGCTGATCGTAAGGTCGGCGGTTCGAATCCCTGCGGCGGGGTGAGCTCCCGTCGTTCGGTCCCAGCTCCTGCCCACCTAGCAGTTCGAAGGCACCCCTAAATGCAAGTAGATAAATAGGTACCGCTTTATAGCGGGAAGGTAAACAGCATTTCCGTGTGCGGCGCTGGTGCTGGCTTGCCAGACGCAGCTTCATCACGCTGGCCACGTGACCCGGAAGTGTCTTCGGATGGCGCCAGCTCCCGGCCTCTTGAGCAAGATGAGCGTGCAACCCTAGAGTCGGTCACGACTGGCCCGTACGGGCAGGGGTACCTTTACCTTTTACCTTACAACAATACTGCTAGGCAGCAGACTCAAGTAGAACTAGACACAATGAAGGAAATATGGGATAGGCAACCATATATTTTCCTGACAATGTGGTCAAATTACACTTAATCTTGTGACCACTTGCTGATTCTCCTCTGCAAATGACACTTACAAGCCCCCACAGTTTATTTTTTCTCAGCTGGGTGGGGTGGGGGGCTGAGAGGAGAGCATGTGGCCATGGGAGAAAGATGAAGTACCCCTTTACCCAACATTCCCCTTGATGACTCTGCTCAATGCATTTGAGTTATCCAAGTAAGCATGGTATTGGGAACATGCACTTGCAGAAAGAATACCTCATTCTGTACTCACAGGATTATGCGGATCTCCTAGTATTTTCTTAGCACATGAACTCTCCTTACATTTAATTTTTACCTTCATACTTTACGGAATGTTTGACAAATCCCATTTATGTATTATGCTGAATATGAATAAGAAGTACAACAGACAGAGGAAGCTGCCTTGCACTGAGTAAGACCCAAAGGACCACCGGTCTCAGTACTGTCTACAATGACCAGCAGCGGCTCCAGTTTTCAGACAAGGGTCTATTCCAGCCCTACCTGGAGAGGCCAGAGATTGAACCCGGGGCCTTCTGCATGCAAAGCATGTGTTCTACCACTGAGCTATGATCTTTTACCTAAACATGAAGCAGAAGAACATGTGAAGAGTTCTGCTGGATCAGACCAACTATCTAGTCCAGTAGCCTGTTACCACACATCTTCTGCTAACCCAGATGATAAAATGGGGGCCAGCCAGCAAACATGGAGTGGCATCTCCCTAGTGCAGGCACCTGGTCAAGGAACTGTAACAGTACACAAATCAGACGGACAAAATTATCCACAGAACTTCAACAAGAGTGATAAGCAAGGTCTCTTTTCTTCTTGAAGGCAGTGCTGAAAGCCAACAACGTTCCTCCAAAATAGCAGGTTGCATGACTGACTGAGGTATATTCTAAACACTGTTCCTTTACAGTTTGTGAAGAGGCAGAACCCCCCCCCTCCACACACACACACACACACACAGCCACACACACAACTTGATTAAAGTCATACATATCCTGTGATATGTATGGTTTATACATACTGGGTTATTTAGTCTAAATAGTATGAAACAAATTGGTTTCAGTAAAGGACCCTTATAAACACTGTTGTTTTAGCTTTATCTGTTGTCTAATGGGCAAGCCACCACACACATTGCTGAATCACACAGTATCATCAATGTTCAAGTAAAATAGGAAGCTCTACAGGAAGACTGCAAGAGGATGTGTGTCTAAATTTGGCTGAATACGAGGAGCAAACCAGGCTATGCATATCCTATTATTTCTGGGAAGGGACAGAAGAAAACACAAATATGGCAAAGCTTTTTGCTTTCTTATAATGACTTATTTAAGAAGCCTCTGGATGGAGGGAAACAATATTGCTTCAAGAGACAGTCAATGTTGCATTTGCTGATTATAATTTAAACCACACTGTGGACAAGACAGAAGCAGTTATCACACAAGCGGAACTGTCAGCTCCTTAATTTCCAATGAGCTTCTCATTCAATAACCATTTCATTTGCCAACTAACAGGAGGCTTTTCCTTGACAAAACTAATTCCAAAGCACATGAAACTATTTAGTCAAAATCAGCTGTCAATCGACCCTTACTGGCAGTGATCCTACAATTAAAATTCTTTGAAGTTTCTTTTCACTGCATGAACAAACAGAACTGATTTCTTTATTTAATAGGCTACTTAATTCACATCATTGTTAGAAGTGTCTTTAATCATACCGCCATCCTGATTTCCTTGAAGTTATTTTATTTAATATATAGTGGATGTCTTAGTGCAACCAATAATTTTAAAGGACACAAAATTGTGTAATTAAAAAGAGGAACATTTCATTGATTAGCTGAAACTTCTGAGAATCATTTATTTGACAATGGCTTGCAAACATGGGGAAGAATCTTGTAGACTAGAGAGGGATGATGGCCAAACAAGCATCCTCTATAAAACTAGCTTTGCTTCAATACCGTTTGAAATAATTCTTTCTGTTTGCACATATTTAAATAATTATATGCAAGTTAACTGACTAATGGCTTCTCTATCACAGAACATTTTCAAAGTTTGAATTACATACATGAAAATTGATTAGATTTATAGGGATATAGCTGCATACATTTTCTGAAAAGGGAGCCCATGTTTTCTTGATGAAAGGTTTAGATAAGAGGAGGCACCTGTGTGGCAGAGGACAGAGCCCTGAATATTTTAGGCATCAAAACACCTACTGCTTCTACAAGTTACTAGCCTTGTGGTGGCTTGCACATACTTCCATTCCCTAAATGGTAGGTTATCGAGACATATTTCCTTAAGATGTATGCACAAAAATTGTGTTTCTATTTTGTTTTCTTTGTCAAAAGACCTATTATTAAAGAAACTGCACAAGGTGGTCTGGAAACCAGCTTTGCTTCTGCATAGCTATGAGCTGTCCAGCGTGCAGACTGACAGATTAGAAAATGAGCCCTGCAGGTGTGAAAAGCTGTTAAAAGGCTTATTTAGTATTCCACAGGCTCCTGTTCCAAGTGGACCTTGAAGGAGTCTTGTATAATTTCTGCTACCTTATTTCTCCAAGTGAACATGCCTAACTTAAACCAGAAACAGAGAATGCAGCAAAATTAATGTACCACTTGAAAAGCAGCAAAGTGAAAATACCCAGTATATAACCTTCAAGGAGCCTAGTCCAAATCTGAACTACACTTTTGTTAAAAATGGAAGAGCTTGTGATATAATTTGTTCAAAAACAGCTGTCCCCTCTCCCGCTGGCAGAAGGGATCCTAAGCTCTTCCTGTCCAGAAAGGCAGTGCTGCCTATTAATTACTGATGTCAGATGACAACTTAAATGGGACTCCCTCCCGGGACTTATCAGCTAATCAATGCTGAGAGCAAGACCCCCTAAAGGTGTGCTTTCAGTTATTGCACTGATTGGTCTATTTAGCTAAAAACCATCCTCCTTCTTCCACCTGGCATAACGTAAGGGACACATACACCATTTTTTTGTGAAGTGCAGTGATCATGCATCACCATGATCAGGAATAGATTCCTGATCACACATGGAAATCAAACTACTGCTTTTGCAGAATTCTGGCTCCATCCTTATCCATTTATGAACAAACATCTCATAAGATCATGAAGATGTCCATAAAATAAGCCATTTCCAGTCCCAAGAGAAATAACACGAGTACATCGAACAAGTACTACGAGGCAACACACTGGGGACTGTGGCTGTCTGTGAGAAGGCAAAAGTAGCTGTACGCTTCATTAAGACCCAGATTTAAGCAATGCTACAGATCTTTCCCCTTTACTGTTTTCGATATCACATCAGACTCTGTTTAGCCTCTGGTAATGAGGATTACGAAGCAGATCAGAACAGTCACATCTTTCCACTAAAAGGCATGTATCACTAAGCTCTCCCAGCATCACACAAACACCAATAGCAGTGTTCAGTTAACTCAGGGGAGGCTAATCCATGGTGCTCCAGGTGTTGGACTTTACATTCTGTCAGCCCCAACCAACATGGACAATAGTCAGGGATGTAGTCCAGCAACATCTCAAGAACCAAAGGTTAGGCACCCCTTAGTTAACTAGTCACATTCTACCTCTTTCTTCATCAGGGATAATGGACCTGTGGTCCATTTCTGACCATTTCTGATACTGGCTGCACGGCGGAAAGGAGCTGGAATACAGCAACATCTGGAGGACCACAGGTTTCCTATTCCTTCCTCATACAAACACAAGCTTGATTCACACTTCACTTTAAACAAGCACTGGATTAATCCAATGGGTGTATTCTAAGAATGACTAATGTTGGATACAACCCTAAGGTTGCAATCCTAAATCTACTTACTCGGGATAAAACCCCATGGAACACAGCAAGACTTACTGCAGAGGAAGCATACATAGCACTCTGCTGCAAATATGACTCATGAAAACTTTACTTTTAAAATAAAGTAGCCACAGCAACAACATACTTAGGAGTTCTAGTTGTAAGCTGCAATTAATGGAAGAGTGTATTTATTATAGTAATTAAAGCTTACATTTAATTTAAGACGACACCAATACATTCCTGGTTTTATTGAAAATGTTCAATAATCCAAGCCACTTTTTCAAGCCTGGCAGAATCTTTAAAAAGGAGCGTAGATTTTTTGAAACTGATGAGAAAAACAAAGTGGCTTCCTAAAAATACCCTGCTGCTTTAAAAGCAAAAACGAAACTCTGCATGGATAGAATTTCCTGATATGAGATTCAAGCGATTAGGCAGTGCCTTTCCTGTATTTTCCAGGAGACTCAGAAACATGGATGCAGAAAGGAAATGGTTTTAAGATAACTTTGCCTCTGCTTATCCAATAGAGTAGGATGTTCAGTCAACTTTTTGTGTAAAATTTACATTTTTATATCACCTGGAACATATTTAGCAAAAGCACATTTCCTGGTGAATTCAGATCCTGTTTTTGATTAATGTGATCACAGGAGACCCTAACAGCTTTCGTCATGGTTATCATTCTACAGACAAAAAGTATCGGAATTCAGAACTTAAGGTGGTATCGAAAGTCTAGTTCACACATCCTCAGGTGACCTCAGTAGCAGGGTCTATGAGTAGGCTGGACAGACTGGTCATGCCTGCACCAAGGCAGCATTTGTGTGAACTGATGCCTCCACATCAGTACTGTACACATACTTCCCACAAATTCCGTGAGAGTGGTGACACTTTTTAGAGAAGCTGGTTCATACAAATTGGACATCCACAAGAGCATAACATGTCTGAGACAGCCCCATAGGCACCCAAGACAAAGGATTTAAACTGAGTTCCACATGGCAAATGTGTTCACTGACTCATAGTTCCACTAAAGCCAGCGATGGCAGAGCATTGTAATTCCAAGTATCATAACCACACCCACACAGATGTGTTCTTGCTTTCGTCCAGAAGCATCACCTCACTAGTATATTTTTTTTAGTTTGATAGCAGGAGAACGTTATGGTTTTTTCTGATTATTTTTTACTTGCTCAAATCACACAGCCATGAAAATAGTTCAACTGTCCCTTACCCACCCCAAGACTGGTGTGTTGAATAACCAGATGTCCTCTAAAAAGGTAAAGGTAAAGAACCCCCGACAGTTAAGTCCAATCGCAGACGACTCTGGGGTTGCAGTGCTCATCTTGCTCTATAGGCCAAGGGAGCCAGCATTTGTCCGCAGACTGTTTTTCCGGGTCATGTGGCCAGCATGACTAAGCTGCTTCTGGCGAAACCAGAGCAGCACAAGGAAACACCATTTGCCTTCCCACCAGAGCGATACCTATTTATCTACTTGCACTTTTTGGCATATTTTCAAACTGCTAGGTTGGCAGCAGCTGGGACCGAGCAACAGGAGCTCACCCCATGGCAGGGATTCAAACTGCCGACCTTCTGATTGGCAAGTCCAAGAGGCTCAGTGGTTTAGACCACAGCGCCACCCGCGTCCCCGACTAGATGTCCTCTAGTACAAAATAAACTGAAATATTTGAAAATACAAGTGCACAAAAAATATATATAGTGGGCTCTTAACAGTATTGACTATAATCACAAAAAGTACTGATTTTTAAAGTTTTACATAATCCT